CAATCATGTTTGTATGTGTTTATGAGAATGTCCTTTCAACAACACAACAACAACATCATCATTGAGACTTTACTCTCAAAGCATCCGTAAAACATTTACATAGGTTTCATAAAAAACATGTATAAACTCATACTTTGCCCTTTCAAGGTTCAAAGCCTACTCTCAATCACCACATATAAAAATCAAGGATTAGATAGGGATTTCATCTTAAATTCATGTGATTCTATCACTTCATGCATTGGTTCGTAAAACTCCACTTTCATAACTAACAACCCACATCACATGATCATAATTTGGAAAACATGGGGGTTGACATGGGTTCATAAGGTAAACATTATAAAATCATAGTATTTCATCAATTCATGCATAAGAGATCATAATTCAATAATTTACATCAATAATCAAGAGAACCCATGGTAATTGAAGAAAATTCTAACTCAATTGGGGATTTCTACCTTTGAAAATAGGAGAATTTGGGAACTCCATGGATGAAAACTATCATACCTCAAATCCAAATGCTTATCTTCAATGGAGTAATTGAGACTTGCCTTGAAATCCTAGGTTGAATCCTTCTTCTTCTTCAAGTTTCTAGAGAGAGAATTATTTGGAGAGTTCTTCTTTTGAGATTTTGGAAGAATGAATTGAATTGATAGAATTTGGGGGTAAAAATCCTTATATAGGGGTCTTAGACTTAGGAAAAACGACATAGTATTAGGCTAGATTAATTAGGAAAAGACCCAACTGCCCCTAAAAATATAAATGCCAGTTCACCATCCACGGATCACTGATGACGGACCGTGGTTAGGATGACGGGCCATCCTGCACGTCCGTCGTTCTTGGTCAGAAACCAGATTGTGGCCTTTGAACCACAGGCCCTCAACAATAGACCGTGGTCGGACCGACGGTCCATTGGTTAGGCCTTGGTTTCCCTTTTCTAAGCATGTTTTTCGTGTCCACCCATGGACCCTACCTACGGTCCGTGGTCCACTTCACGGATCATGGTTGGCACCTGCAACCTCGGAAAAATGTCTATCTTGCCTCTTTTCGAATATGGGGTGTTACATTATCTCCCCCTTGGGAACATTCGTCCTCAAATGAGATTCTAGGAACCTCTTTAAAGGAAACGACTCAAGACTAGTAGCCCATCATGCATGCAATCTCATCAAAATGCACATAACCAAGGAGTAAACATCGACTCTAAGCAAAACATACTCAATACATAATAAGGAAGGTAGGAACTAGACCTAACAAACAAATATGCATGAAATTTCAGATTTCTCATATTCAAGAAGGAACTACCTTCTCCAAGCTAAAAGCATGTTCAACATCATCTCAGGGAGACGTTATGCAATTCATACTAAATAGCATAGGTAAAGCATGTTCAACAATTCATCTCTTGAAGTTTATGGGCAACTTATACTCAATGCACAACAACATGAGGAATATCAATCACATAAACTCATTTTCTTTCAAAACACAAGTTTTTCATGAACATGCATTACATAAGGAAATCATGGGAATATCTAGAACACACATGACTCCAAAACAAAGAACAAACCATGAGGAACTCATTACCTCAAGCTAAAGTAGGAGTAGAAGGAAAAAGATGAGGATATCAGGACATCATATCGGACTCGGCCTCCCAAGTAGCACCCTCAACTAAATGATTCCTCAATAACACTTTCACGGAAGCAACTTCCTTGTTTGTCAACTTCTTGACTTGCCAGTCTAAAATCTCAACTGGAACTTCCTCATAAGAAAGATTCTCATTGACTCCCAAACCTTCTAAAGGGACTATGTATGTCGGATCACCAACACATTTCTTCAACATAGAGACATGGAAAACCGAATGCACCGATGCCAACTCATTAGGCAAATCAAGTTCATAAGCAACCTTATCGACATGTCTCAAAATCTCATATGGGCCTACAAAACGGGGACTATGCTTCTCTTTCTTACCAAACCCCAATACACCCTTTATGGATGATATTTTAAAGTAAACCCATTCATGTACATCAAATTCAACATCCCTTCTTCTAACATCGACATATGACTTTTGTCGACTTTGAGTCATTTTCAATCTTTCTCTAATAAGTCGAACCTTCTCTATAGCCTCATAAACTAACTCGGGTCCTATCAAGGCAACTTCACCCACCTCAAACCAACCTATAGGATATCTACACCTCCTACCATAAAGAGCCTCAAATGTAGCCATACCAATAATCGAGTGATAGCTATTATTATAGGCAAACTCAATCAATTGCAAATGGTCATGCCAATTACCCTTAAAATCAATCACACAAGCTCTCAACATATCTTACAGAGTTTGGATGGTACGCTCCGCTTTCCCATCGGTTTAGGGATGAAAAGTCGTACTAAGCTTAACCTTAGTGCCAAGACCCTTTTGAAAAGACTTCCAAAACTGAGAAGTGAATTGAGTACCACGATTAGAAATAATGGACAAGGGCACTCCATGCAACCTTACCATTTCTCTTAAGTACAACTTAGCATAATCCTCTGCCAAATAGGAAACCTTGACGGGAATAAAATGAGCCATTTTTGTTATTCGATCTACTATAACCCAAATCGAGTCATGTTGTCATCGAGTGCGTGGCAACCCTACTATGAAGTCCATATTCAAGTCTTCCCACTTCCAAGTAAGAATACCAATGTCTTGGAACAAACCTCCCGGCTTCTGATGCTCAACTTTCAACCGTTGACAATTAGGACACTTAGCCATGAATTTCGTAATATCCTTTTTCATCCCATTCCACCAATAGATCTCTCGCAAATCACGGTACATCTTTGTGGCTCCCGGGTGAATGGAATATCGAGAACTATAAGATTCTAACAAGATTTGTTCCCTCAAGTCACCCATATTAGGAACACACAAACAACCTTGGTATCTAAGAACACCATCACCCCCTTAGGAGAAAGCCTCAACATATTTCTTAAGCACCGCTTCTTTAAATTCAACCAAAATTGGATCAATACGTTACTTTGCTTTCACATCCGCCATAAAAGATGACTCTGCACCATTGTGAACCATAACACCACCCTTGGTAGAGTCTACTAACTAAACTCTCAACCGGGTCAATCGATGAACATCTCGAACCAACTCTTTTCTATCATCATCAATATGAGCCACACTACCCATAGACAACAGAGTAAGAGCATCCGCCACCACATTTGGCTTACTGGGGTGATAGAGAACACTTTTGTCATAATCCTTCAATAACTCAAGCCACCTTCTTTGGAAAAAATTCAAATCCTTTTTCTTAAACAGATATTTCAAACTCTTATGGTGAGTGAAAACATCAACATGAATACCATACAAATAATGCCTCCATATCTTTAAGGCAAAAACAATCGCCGTTAATTCCAGGTCATGGGTAGGATAATTCTTCACAAGAATCTTAAGTTGCTTTGAAGCATCGGCATTGACTTTACCATTTTACATAAGCAAAGATCCAAATACAATTCTAGAGGCATCACAATAAACCACAAAACCATCCATACCTTTCGGTAAAGTTAACACCGAAGCAAAAGTAAGTCTATCTTTCAACTTTTGGAAACTTTTCTCACAAGATTCAGACCATATGAACTTAGCTTTCTTTTGAGTCAAAGTTGTCAATGGAGAGGGAATGGAAGAAAAACCGTCAACAAACCTCCTATAGTAACCGGCAAAACCCAAGAAGCTTCTAATATCCGAACGGGTTAGAGGTCTAGGTCAACTCTTGACCGCATCCATCCTAATCTACCTCAATACCCTTACTTGAAATGATATGACCAAGAAAAGCTACGGATCTTAACCAAAACTCACATTTGCTAAACTTTGCAAAGAGTTGTTGTTATTTGAGAATTTGCAACACAATCCAAAAATGATTAATATGTTCATTCTCACTTCTTAAATAAAACAAAATATCATCAATGAACACAATCACAAACATGTCAAGGTATTACCTAAACACTTTATTCATGAAATCCATAAATGCCCCCGGCGCATTAGTCAAACCAAAAGACATCACCAAAAACTCATAATGATCATATCGGGTTCTAAAAGCCATTTTCGCAATACCATTTTCCTACACCCTCAATTGGTGATAACCCAACCGAAGATCAATCTTAGAGAAGTAAATTGCTCCATGAAGTTGGTCAAACAAATCATCTATTCTTGGAAGAGGATACTTATTCTTAATGGTCACCTTGTTCAACTGATGATAATCAATACCCATATGAAGAGAACCATCCTTCTTTCTAATAAAAAATCTGGAGCACCCCATGGAGAGATACTCAGTTGGATGAAACCCTTATCTAACAAATCCTTCAATTGTTCTTTCAACTCCTTTAGTTCTGTCGGGTCCATTCTATAAGGAGGAATAGAAATAGGTTGTGTATTTGGGAGAAGGTCTATACCAAAGTATATTTCCCTTTCGGGAGGAATACCAGGTAAATCATCGGGGAAAACATCCAGAAACTCATTTACAATGGAGACCGACTCTAAAGTAGGGGTTTCAGAATATACATCCCTCACCCTAACTAGATAGTACATGCAACCCTTAGAAATCATCTTTATAACTTTAAGACAAGAAACAAACTAACCCTTAGTCATAGAATTTCTCCCCTTCCACTCTAGGATAGGATCATTTGGAAACCGAAACTTGACTGCATGAGTTCTACAATCAACATAAGAGTAACAAGAGTGCATCCAATCCATACCAAGGATAACATCAAAATCTAACATATCAAGCTCTACCAAATCAACAAGAGTAACTCTATGGGATAAGGACACACGACATCTTCTATAGACCCTCTTAGCCACTACAGAATCACCAACAAGGGTAGAGACAGAAAATAACAACACATCCGGAAGAACATCAAACCTCATAGCCACATATGGCGTCACAAAAGACAAGGTAGCACCGGGATCAAGTAAAGCATATACATCAAGTTGGAAAACTTTGAACATATCGGTAACCACATTGGGAGAACTCTCTTGTTCACCACAAGTCTGGAGGGCAATAGAATTGGTTTTTCTTGGGAGCATTTGAACTCGAACCACTAAGAGGAGCTTGCTTGCCCTCTCTTCCCTTAGCTATAAGCATTGGGAAATACCCCATCTTATGACCATTTTTACCACAACTAAAGCAACCATTTGTGTCAGCTAGACACTTACCCTCGTGCTTCTTTCCACACTTAACACAAGTAGACCTAGGCAATGAAGATCCACCACCATTCCCTCCTTGATGTTTAGGGTTAGACACCCTCTCTTTGTTGAAATTAGAAGGAGAATTGGAGGAACCTTGACCAGAAAACCCTTGTCAAAATCTAGGACGACCATGTCCATCGGACCTTGCATGTGAGAAATTACCATCATCGATTTTAGCCCTCTTTGTTTCCCTAGACCTTTCCTTAAGTTTCTCCTCTTCGATTTGTTGGGCATGAAATATGAGACGAGAGATGTCCATGTCATTGATGAGCATGGTGGTATGGCACTCTTTAACCACCATTTCAGACATACCTGAAACAAACTTACTCATCTTTGCCCTCGAATCAGCAACCATTGTTGGAGAAAATTTAGACAATTGAGTAAACTTCAAACCATATTTCCTCACACTCATACTTCCTTGATAAAGGTTGATAAACTCAAGAACTTTTGCTTCACTCATCCCAAGGGGAAAGAACCTATCAAGAAAGGTAGCCTTAAACTTCTCCCAATAAAGAGGACACGCATCTTCCAGTCTACCTTCTTTCCATTGATTATAACATATTTGAGTGACATCCTTAAGTTAATAAGCGGCCAACTCTGCCTTTTCCACCGATGTCACTCCTATGATCATAAATACCTTGTAGACCTCATCTATGAACTTTTGAGGATCTTTCTCAACCTTTGAACCATGAAACTCCAAAAGATTCATCCTTGTTAAGTCCCTCACTCTAGAAGTCGTCGTACCCACATTAGGGTTCACAGGAACTACAACCTCCATGTTGTCTTGAGTCATCATGGCTTGAGAAAAATACTTGAAAAGAAGCCCTAAACTTTGTTAGATACTTGTTCGTCCAAAGGATTGACCGGAGCTTGAAGAGCTTGAGGATGAGCTTCTTTTTCTACATTGTCCCTCACATTCCTTCTAGTATACGCTCTTCGAGTAGAAATATCATGTACAACATCAGATAAGGATTAGGAGAGAGACCTTATAGAGTTAAACTCTATCACATGACTTAAGAGTAATGAAAACAATGGAATTTCCTAAACATCTTGTAGCCTTTTATTCATAAATGTGGCGCACTTTACACTCATGAACCAGACTCTACTAGACGTGGATCTTGAGTCATCATGGCTTGAGAAAAATACTTGAAAAGAAGCCCTAAACTTTGTTAGATACTTGTTCGTCCAAAGGATTGACCGGAGCTTGAAGAGCTTGAGGATGAGCTTCTTTTTCTACATTGTCCCTCACATTCCTTCTAGTATACGCTCTTCGAGTAGAAATATCATGTACAACATCAGATAAGGATTAGGAGAGAGACCTTATAGAGTTAAACTCTATCACATGACTTAAGAGTAATGAAAACAATGGAATTTCCTAAACATCTTGTAGCCTTTTATTCATAAATGTGGCACACTTCACACTCATGAACCAGACTCTACTAGACGTGGATTTTGAGACATCCTAGGACCAATCTAAACCTTGTGCTCTAATTACCAAGTTTGTAATGACCCAAGGGTACACCCTAGATGTAACATGGCATATAGTACCCCGAGAGGCCCCATACAAGCCACATAGAATTCATAACATAAGAAATAGAACAATGAGATAAAACAACATTTCAAGTCTAAAAGTTTTTATAAAAGTAAAGCGGATGTCTAAAATACTTTGTCGCAAGAACCATCTAATACAATAGAATGAAATTATCCCTAGCGCATACATCATGTCCAAAACTGAAAAGTAAGAAACTGAAAACAATATAACTCCGTCCTAGAATGCATGAGGAATCACCAAAGCTTGGGAAATCGACCAAGCCAACCTCTAGCACGAAATTGAGAACCCTCAATATCGGATCCTACATTTAGGAAAAATGTAGGCAAGAGTATGTGTTAGTACAAAACAATGTACCAAGTACGATACCATGCATTAAACATTAAATTATGCTAAAATGGGACATTTGATGACATGCAATTGACCAAGCTAAAGCATGATATAAGAAGGTTAGAAAACATACTTCATGAAACATGGCCAATGCAAGCTAATCATCTTTAAAACCTTTGAACACATATGAGATACTCCTTGAGTAATCTTAGTCCATTATTAATGTGGGGAATTAGCCTTAACCGACATAAAGACCGTGTGAGTTATAACATGATCCCCTGGTGTCTCCCACACCAAAAAGGGTTATCCTACTTTCCAAGGTAAGGACCATGAATTTCTAGTTTAAGTGGATCCAGTAGCTAATGTCTATCTATACAATCATCCTATGTAGCACATAGGTATGGGATGAGGAGAGAGCTTCCATCTTAATATTCTCTCGGTGCTAAACATAAATCCCAAGGAGTAATCATTTCTTACTTGTTCTCATTATTCATTGAAGGGCATGTCATCTTTCCAATCCAAGCTAAGTTTCATTAGGATAGCTCCTTGTCTTTGATTCATTTAGGTGAGAAATCCTTTCAACCTTAGAATCCTTATTATGTGAGAAAACCTTTCACAATCATGTTTGAATATGTTTATGAGAATGTTCTTTCAACAACACAACAACAATATCATCATTGATACTTTACTCTCAAAGCATTCGTAAAACATTTACATAGGTTTCATAAAAACATGCATAAACTCACACTTTACCCTTTCAAGGTTCAAAGCCTACTTTCAATCACCACATCTAAAAATCAAGGATTAGATAGTGATTTCATCATAAATTCGTGTGATTCTATCACTTCATGCATTTGTTCATAAAACTCTTCTTTCATAACCAACAACCCACATCACATGATCATAATTTGGAAAACATGGGGTTTATATGAGTTCTTAAGGGAAACATTATAAAATCATAGTATTTCATCAATTCATGCATAAGAGATCATAATTCAATCATTTAAATCAATAATCAAGAGAACCCATGGTAATTAAAGAACACCCTAACTGAATTGGGGATTTCTACCTTTGAAAATAGGAGAATTTGGGAACTACATGGATGAAAACTATCATAACTCAAGTCCAAATGATTATCTTCAATGGAGGAATTGAGACTTGCCTTGAAACCCTAGGTTGAATCCTTTTTCTTCTTCAAGTTTCTAGAGAGAGAATTATTTGGAGAATTCTTCTTTTGTGATTTTGGAAGAATGAATTTAATTGGTTGAATTTGGGGGTTAAAATGCTTACATTGGGTTCTTAGACATAGGAAAAATAACATAGTATTAGGCTACATTAATTAGCAAAATACCCTACTGCCCCTAGAAAATAACTGACAGTTCACCATCCACAGACCACTGACGACGGACCATGGTCAGGACGGCGGGTTGTCCTGTATGACCATCATTCGTGGTGAGATACAAGATTGTGGCCTTTGAACCACAGGCCCTCAACCACGGACCGTGCTCTAACTGACGGTCCGTTGTTCAGGTCGTGGTTTCCCTTTTCTGAGCCTGTTTTGGTTGCCCACCCACAGACCCTGCCTACGGTCTGTGGCACCTGCAACCTCTAAAAAATGGCTATCTGTCCTCTTTTCAAATACGAGGTGTTACACAAAGATAGCTTATAGAACTCGTTATGGGAACTATGAGTTTCTTGTGATGTCTTTTAGTTTAACCAATGCCCCTGAAGTGTTCATGAGTTGATGAACGAGGTTTCCGACCTTATCTGGATTTCTTTGTGATAATGCTCATTTATGATATCTTGGTGTACTACCAAACCGATGAGGATCACGATCGGTATTTGGAATTGTACTCTAGAGATTGAGGGAACAGAAGGTATATGCCAAGTTCTTGAAGTGTGAGATTTTGCTTGATTTTGTTGCATTTTTGGGGCACATGGTGTCCAATGAGGGTATTTGGTTAGATCCAACCAAGATCGAGACAGTTAGGGTTGGACCAGGCCTACATCAATTACTGAGATTCAGGGTTTATAGGAATTGTAGGCTATTAATTGTTTAAAGTTTCTCTACTATTGCATCTCATTTGGCCAATTTGATTCGAAAGAGTGTGGGCCTCAAGTGGTTTGATAAGTATTGATTTGACGTATCCAGACGCTACATCCAATACTAAGAGTCCATGGTCGTTCAATAGTAATATAACTCAACTAGTGAGTTGGAGTCGAGTCCCAAGGGAGCGGTTTGTAATCGAGAATTAAGAGAAAAGCAAGAACTTCACTCAAGTCAATTATAGCTAAAGACTTATACGAAGAAAAACATATCAATTTAAAGGGTGACACAAGTGTCAATTATCGAAGGGGGTTTTGTAGTCAATTATCAACTAGAAGCAGCAAATAATATACAAATATGAATATGGAGATGGGATTCTTGGGATGTGAGAAGAATATAGGCTAAATAAATAACCGGGTAAATGCTATTAATAGTAAATCATTGTAAATTGGTAACTAAGCTAGACTTTAGTAGGGTAAATTTTCTCTCGAACAATTTACCCTGAATCAAATCGGCTTCTCTCGAACACCAATAAGCAACAATGAAGCATTGCCTTCGCCTTAGTCCATTCACTTTCTCGAGCTGAATCTGTGGAAGAGGGTTCAGGATTCACTCTCTCGAGCTAAACCCACGACAACCCAATAACCAAAGACTATCGATTCAGTAGTTTTGGTTTTAAAACCTCTCTCAAGCAAGTCAAAAATACGAAGATAAAATTGTATTAGCAACAACAACCCCATTAACTTCAAACATAACTACTGAACGAAATCACCTTTAAACAGCAAATTAATTATCTATTAGCAATACCCAGCAGTAAATTCAACCCATATTCACATAATCACACACCAAGAATTGGGGTTTTAGCTAGACATAGTAAAGAGATAGAAATCGATACCGAAAAGTGTTTCTATCAAATGGGTACGATAGATATTGTCTTCACACACGTCTAAGATGAAGAATCTTCAATACCTACTTCCAATTGCTTAGAAATGGAAATCTTCAAATCTAAGGAACAAAGTCTCCAAAACTCTAAGTTCTAAAAACTGAAAATAATGTTCAATATTCTAAAATTTGATACTAATTGCATGCTAAACTAAAAATTCAAACAAGTATTTATAGTTGTCCAAAAGTGTGCTGCGAAGGACCACTCGACACAGTTAGTCGGGATCGCCAATCCACTCAGTGATCCACTCTTTGGTCTGATTTATCGCATTTCTACATTGGCCTTCAGAAAATTCTAGTTCTGTAACGTTAGGCGATGGAGTACTGCATCGCGCAATCATTCAGCGACTGCTCATTTATCTTGCCGACTCAATTTTCTCATTCAGAGCTTGGCACACTGGAATATTAGGCAAGAACATAGCCATTTGGCGACTCGCCTAATGATTTAGGCAATCCTTAGGCCGTCTTTTCTTTGTTCTTTTCAGCT